CGTTCGGGGAAGGGCCGCCGCCCCAAGGCTGGGCGCGGCGGAGGAGGGGGGGGTGTAGGAGGGGGTGGTGCTGGAGTCAGGTCGTCTGGTGCTGGAGCGGACGAGGGGACCCTGCCCGGTCCAAAGGAGCCGCCGCCTCTGCAGTCACAGCAGCAGCAGCAGCAGCCGCACCAGCCGCAGCAGTCGCAGCAGCCGCAGCAGCCGCAGCCTCCGCAGCAGCCGCAGCAGTCGCCGCAGACGAGGCAGGCGAGTGTCCTCCCGCCCTGGAGGTGGTCGGGCGCGTGGTGGTGTGCCGAGTGGTGGTTCGGGAGGCGTGCGTTGTCAGTACCAGATCCACACCGGTCCTCGCCGCGGCTTCGTTTGCGGTAAGATCGGTCATACCACTCCCCGCTGTTTTCGTCGCCTGGACGACCTCTTTCGTCAGCGCTTCGGCCCTTCGCCAGACCTCCCGGACTGGCACAGTTTGCTTAGTCGTAGGATTCAGATTTTTGACATGGACATGGATGCCATTGTTTCTGCTCTGCATGTGATGTATGCTGATGACTCTAGTGCGCTCTCCACTTATTACTCTCTGTCGTCTAGTGTAGGTGTGCCTTGGATCCCCTGCTTTGTTTAGCCTTGGTGCTTCCGCCGTCGCCCCGTCGCCGGACGCCACTGCTTTGCTTTCCTTCACCTTGGACTCTGGCGCTTCCCGGTGCCTTCCGCGACTCTACTACACTGACGCCGCTTCCTGTTCCTGCTGCCGTTTCTTTTGCTGACCCCTCCGGCGGTCCGGTAGTTGCCCGCAGTTCCACCACCCTTCCCTGCCCGGCGGTTCCTTCGGGCTCTCTTACAGGTCTGCATATCCCCTCGTTCTCCAGGAACCTAGTTGGTGTCGGCTGCCTCCAGGACCTTGGCGTCACCACTACGTTCCCTGGTCACGAGCGGTATGCTGTCTGTACCGAGGCCGCCACTGGTGCCCCCCTGTCCACGTTCCCCCGGGACCCGGTGTCCGGCCTGTTCACTCTGGACACCGTGACCCCCCCGGCTCGGGCGCCCCCTCAGGTGGTTGCGTCTACCCAGTTTGCTGCTGCCTGCTCCTGTCGGTCCCTCACTCACCCGACTCTCCTTTGGCACCACCGCCTAGGTCACCCTGCGCTCCCGCGTCTGCGTCACATGTCCCAGCACGGTCTCGTCCTTGGTCTCCCTGGTTCTCTCCCCGCTTTTCCCTCCTCCCCAGCCCCACCTTGCACGCCTTGCGTCGAGGGTCGGCTTCGCCGTGCCCCTCACTCCTCCTCTTTTCCCCCTACCGCTGCGCCGCTGCAGACCCTGCACATGGACGTCTTGGGCCCCGCCCCCGTCCATGGGCCGCGTCGAGTGCGCTACTTCCTTGTGCTTGTCGACGACTTCACTCGCTACACCTCGGTCTTTCCCCTGGAGCGGAAGGCCGACGTGCCTGACGCTCTCATCCCCTGGCTTGTCTCTGCCCGTGTCCACCGAGGTCTCCCTGTCTTGCGCCTTCACTCCGACCGTCGTGGCGAGTTTGCCTCAGGTGTCCTTGGTCGCTTTTGTCGTGCGGAGGGCATCACCCAGACGTTCACCCTACCGGACTCCCCGCAGCAGAATGGGGTCGCTGAGCGACGCATCGGTTTGGTCATGGAGGTGGCTCGCACCTCCATGATCCATGCCGGTGCACCCCATTTTCTGTGGCCGTTCGCTGTGCGCTGCGCTTCTCACCAGCTTAACCTGTGGCCACACCCCCAGCAGCCGCAGGTTTCGCCGACCCGTCTTTGGACTGGGTCTCCTGGTGACGCGTCTGCGTTCCGCGTCTGGGGCTGCCTTGCTCATGTCCGTGCCTCCGGCACGGACAAGCTCACTGCCCGCACCCTTCCCTGCGTCTTCCTCGGTTTTCCCCTTGACACGTCCGACTGGCACTTCTACCACCCGCCGTCTCACCGCTTCTTTCACTCTCGCGACGTCACCTTTGACGAGTCTGTCTCCTTCTTCCGTCGTTTCCCCCACCGCGGTCCCCCGGTTACCCCCCCCCTGTTCTTGGTCACTCCCCCCCCAGTAGTCCCTGCCCCTCCCCCTCCTCCTCCCCGTCCTGCCCCCTCTGGTGTGTCCCACGTCACCCCTCTTCCGTCGGTGGTCCCGTTCGAGGAGTCTTCTGACTCTGGTGGTCCTGCGGCTCAGTCCTCGCCGGCTGCCCCTCCCCAGGAGTCCCCTCCCTCGCTGCCTCTGCAGCTGTTGTCACCTCAGCTGCCGCCGCCGCAGCCGTCGTTGTCGCTGCCGCCGCCGCCGCCATCGCAGCACGTGTTCGTTGACTCTGGGGGTGCTGGCATTGGAGTGCGTGCTAGTCTCGGTAGCCTTGGGGGTGGTACCGGTCCTCGAGGGGTTTCGGGCCCTGGGGGTGTTCCCTCTGGGGGTGCTTGCGTGGAGTGCGCCGGTGGTAGCCGAGGAGCAGCTTGCGGTCCCGGTGTCGACGTTGTGCCGCCGCAGCAGCAGTCCCCACCGGTGTCAGCCCTTCGCCTGCTCGGCCTCTCGTCCCCTGACCCTGCATCTGTTCCTCCCCGGCCGTCTCCTCCTCTTCCCGTCTACGGCCCTGTGTTCCCTCTGCCGGACTCGTCCCCGGCTCGTTTTCGCCCTCGTTCCCCCTTGTGTCCCCTCCTCTGCCTCCTGACCCCACGCATCCGTCGCACGTCTGGTCCCGCCGTCCCTCCCGCGCTCGTCCTGTCTCCCCTGTCCCGCGCTCTCACCCTATGTTGCTCCGTTCTCACGCGTCTCGTCCTCCCCTTCTACCGTTGACTCCTCCGTCCTCTCTTACCGTTGCGCCTCCTCCTCTGTCTGACTACCTTCGTGCCGCTCGTCCCCTTGTTCCTCGGGTCCTCGCCTCTCTCGTTACCGACCCGTCAGTTCCGGTCTCGTGCCTTGACGCTCTTGTCGCTGCCGTCGCTGACTTCGCCTCTACCCGCCGCCTTGACTACGCCACTGCTCTGTCTGTCTAGGGAGCCCTCGGCAGTGACGCCCTGGAGGACCACCTGTTCGAGCTTGCTTTCCTCTCCGAGGCTGCTCCCCATCTCTGTTCCATGCTGCTAGTCCCTGAGGGTGACCCAGACGCTTTCGACATCCCGATCCCTCGCACTTCCGCTGAGGCGACCTCGGGACCTTGGGCGTCTCAGTGGATAGCTGCCATGGAGCAGGAGATGGCATCTTGGAGATCCACCGGCACCTTCGTCGACGGAGTTCCCCTGCCTGCGGTAAACGTAGTCGATGACCGCTAGCTCTTCAAGGTGAAGCGCCCTCCTGGAGAGCCGCCTGTGTTCAAGGTGCGCTACGTGGCTAGAGGCTTCAGTCAGCGTGAGGGGGTGAACTTCTTCCAGACCTTCGCTCCGACCCCGAAGATGACTACTCTTCGGGTTATGTTACACCTAGCTGCTCAGCGTGACTACGAGCTTCACTCCCTCGACTTCTCCACTGCCTTCCTTCAGGGCAGCCTACACGAGCAGGTCTACTTGCATCGCCCTCAGGCCTTTACTGGCACCTTCCCTCCTGGGACCCAGTGGCTCCTGCGGCGCCCCGTCTACGGCCTGCGCCAGGCTCCCCGTGAGTGGCACGACACGCTGCGTGCTACCCTTGCTGACCTGTGGTTCTTTCCGTCTTCCGCAGACCCCTCACTCTTCGTTCGTGCTGGCCAGACTCCGTTCTACATCCTTGTTTACGTCGACGACCTGGTCTTTGCCACAGCAGACAGGGACGCACTGGCCTCAGTGAAGGCAGAGCTGCTGAAGAGACACACGTGCACTGACCTTGGAGAACTGCGCCGTTACCTTGGCTTGCAGATCTCCAGGGACAGAGCATCGCGCACCATCACCCTGACTCAGTTACACTTGGTGCGCCAGGTCCTTCAGAGGTTCGGCCTTCAGTTCTCGTCTGCACAGCCCACCCCTCTGCCTATAGACCACAGACTCTCTGCTCCAGTTTCTGAGGAGTCGATAGAGCCTAGCGGCCCCTACGTAGAGCTGGTGCGTTGCCTCATGTACCTGATGACTTGCACTCGCCCAGATCTCGCATACCCTCTCAGCATCCTGGCTCGCTTTGTGGCCACAAGCAGACACCGACCGCACCACTGGTCTGCCGCTAAGAGGGTTTTGCGTTATCTTGCTAGTACATCAGGCATGGGGTTAGTGCTAGGAGGACGTAGGCCAGTGGTCCTTACTGGACACACAGACGCTTCGTGGGCAGACGACGCCGAGACACTCAGGTCTACCCAGGGCTACTGCTTCAGCCTTAGTTCAGGTGCTGTCTCGTGGAGAGCTACCCGCTCCTCGTCTGTTGCCCAGTCCAGCTGTGAGGCCGAGATCTACGCTGGTGCCATGGCGGCACAGGAGCTCCGCTGGCTGACCTTCTTGCTCACTGACTTAGGTGAGCGGCCTAGCTGTGCCCCGGTCCTGTACGCTGACAACAGGGCCATGATCCTCTTGTGTCAGGAGCCTCGACTCGAGGGCAGAGCGAAGCATATTCAGATGCGGTACTTCCTCCTGCGCGAGCTACAGCAGCGACGCCAGGCTCGCGTAGTACACTTGGCCTCAGGTGCCAACACAGCTGATATCTTTACGAAGGCGCTTGCGCCTAAAGATCATCAGCGACACTGTGTACAGCTTGGTCTAGTTCCTGTAGCCTCTCACTTGCTAGGGCCTTGACTTTGTACTGTCCTTTATATGTGTACTCAGACTGGACTTGTGTCCTCTCCCAGTGGCTGGACTAGTAGTGCCGCCCTGGTCTTGTTCTTGCCTTGTCTGTACTCCTTCTGACTGGTCTTTTAGACCCTTGTCTCAGAGACTGGACTAGTAGTGCCCCCCAGAGCTGCTTGTTCAGGACCTGCCCCTATGCAGTCTAGGGGGTGTGTCAAACATGTGTATCTACTATGTTTGCATAGACTGAATAGGGCCACCTCTTAGAGGGTACAACACTTAGGTATATTCACCTGTACTCTCTCCCTACTCAACTATTCAGTTCTCACTTTGATACATACCACTTTGTTATGGCCCGCATCAAGACAGTGGGCGTCCGCAATAGACGAGGGGTTTGGGGAATGGGTAACGGAAGCAAAGGGTGAAGGCGGGAAAGTGATGAATGGGTGGGGGTGAACCAGCACTCTGCATCGCGTGAACGCACCAATAGGTTGAAGCATGCCATAGCGAGAGTGCGTCATGTCATGACAAGGCTCCGATCCGATCCGATCCGATCCGATCCGATCCGATCCGATCCGATCCGATCCGATCCGATCCGATCACCCATGAATTCAATAAGCTGAGAACTTGACCTACGAAAGCCCCCTTCGTCCTGCAGCCAGTGTGCGTCGCGTGTACTTAGGAATATATACAAGAGAGCAGCCACAGTATGGAAGGGCGATTCAATTTCGAAGCAGCATGCATTAGTAATTGCCTCTTGTGCAGCCTGCAGAAGCAGCAGCAGCAGCAGCAGCAGCAGCAGCAGCAGCAGCAGCAGCAGCAGCAGCAGCAGCAGCAGCAGCAGCAGTGCCTCTCTTGAATCTGCAAGACCCCTTGTTTCGAAAGAGTACAGATCTGAACGAATTTCGTCATTCGTTCTCGAAGCAGAGTGCCTTATTTAGCACCTCTTGCGCAGCCTGCAGCAGCTGTGCTTCAGGTGAATCTGGCAGCACTGCGCCTGGAGCTGGCTCTAATGAGATCGCTGCAGTGATGGAGGCAATGGGCAGTAGGGCACTCGATACGGCAGCAGCCAGCCCCTCAGCAGCAGGGTCACATGCGGTGTTAGCACCACCACTGCTGCGCCTCTGGCCTAGCGACCCAGCAGCTCTTTCTGGTGTGACTGGAGCCTGTTCTGCTCCAGAAGCTGCATCCGCTGCTGCCGCTGCTGCTGCTGCTGCTGCTGAGGATTCCTCTACACCGTTGCTGCCCAGCAAGTCCGACATTTCGAAACCACCGCTGCCCTCAGCACCGGAAGCAAGGTCCTCAGAAGGCTCATCAGCTTGGGGAGTGGTAACAGGGGCTTCGGGTGCAGCGGCGTGCAGAGCGGTGCAGTGCAGAATGCGGGAGGAGAGCTCAATGGCTGCATGGCGCCACCAGAGGGCTCTCTCTTCTGCCTGCTGCACCTGAAGGGGGCAGAGAGTAGGAGAGAGGGAGGGGGCGGGAAACAAACACTCAAAACCACCACCAAGAGTTGCCACTAGCCGCAGTCAGCACAACGGCTGCCTGGCGCCACCACATGGCAGAGCAGACAGGAGGGAGGGAAGGGAGAGGATGGAGGCTACGTGGCAGCTTATAGGCCACCAGAAGGCCCAATCCTCCACCTTCTGAACCTCATGGGGGCACGGGGAGAGGCAGGGGGGGGGGCGACAGTGAAGGCAACAGGAAGGGGGTTGGGGAGGGGAGAGAGCAGTCAAAAGCACCAGCAGTTGGCCAAAAGGCTGCGTGGTGCCACGAGAGGGCTCGTTCCTCTGCGTGCAGCACCTGATGAGGGCAGGGGGGGGGAGGCAGGGGAGGGTAGGCCGTGAAGGCAACAGGACGGGGGAAGGGGACCGCAGAGAGCACTCGAAATCACCACCAGTCGGCCCCATGGTTGCATGGCGCCACCAGAGGGGGAAGAGTGGGGAGAGGGGGGAGTGGGAGCTTGCAGCACCTAATGGTGGCAGGGGGGGGGAGTAAGGGGGGGAAGGGGATGAGCAAGGGGAAAGGGAGGGGGAAGGAAGCGGGGAGAGCGCGCAGAATCACCACCAGGCAGCTCCAAGGCTAAATTGTGCCACCAGGGTATCTCTCCTCCGCCTGCTGCACCTGATGGGGGAAGGAAGGGGAGGGCAGGGAAATGGGAAGGGTGGGGAGGGGGAAAGCGGAGGGAGGAGAGCGGAGAGAGTAATCAGAACCACCAGCAGGCAGTTCCATGGCGGCATGGGAGCACCAGCAGGCAGTTCCATGGCGGCATGGGACCACCAGCAGGCAGTTCCATGGCGGCATGGGACCACCAGCAGGCAGTTCCATGGCGGCATGGGACCACCAGCAGGCAGTTCCATGGCGGCATGGGACCACCAGCAGGCAGTTCCATGGCGGCATGGGACCACCAGCAGGCAGTTCCATGGCAACATGGGACCACCAGCAGGCAGTTCCATGGCGGCATGGGACCACCAGCAGGCAGTTCCATGGCGGCATGGGAGCACCAGCAGGCAGTTCCATGGCGGCATGGACCACCAGCAGGCAGTTCCATGGCGGCATGGGAGCACCAGCAGGCAGTTCCATGGCGGCATGGGGACCACCAGCAGGCAGTTCCATGGCGGCATGGGAGCACCAGCAGGCAGTTCCATGGCGGCAGGGGACCACCAGCAGGCAGTTCCATGGCGGCATGGGACCACCAGCAGGCAGTTCCATGGCGGCATGGGACCACCAGCAGGCAGTTCCATGGCGGCATGGGACCACCAGCAGGCAGTTCCATGGCGGCATGGGACCACCAGGCAGTTCCATGGCGGCATGGGACCACCAGCAGGCAGTTCCATGGCGGCATGGGACCACCAGCAGGCAGTTCCATGGCGGCATGGGACCACCAGCAGGCAGTTCCATGGCGGCATGGGACCACCAGGCAGTTCCATGGCGGCATGGGACCACCAGCAGGCAGTTCCATGGCGGCATGGGACCACCAGCAGGCAGTTCCATGGCGGCATGGGACCACCAGCAGGCAGTTCCATGGCGGCATGGGACCACCAGCAGGCAGTTCCATGGCGGCATGGGACCACCAGCAGGCAGTTCCATGGCGGCATGGGACCACCAGCAGGCAGTTCCATGGCCATGGGACACCAGCAGGCAGTTCCATGGCGGCATGGGACCACCAGCAGGCAGTTCCATGGCGGCATGGGAGCACCAGCAGGCAGTTCCATGGCGGCATGGGAGCACCAGCAGGCAGTTCCATGGCGGCATGGGACCACCAGCAGGCAGTTCCATGGCGGCATGGGAGCACCAGCAGGCAGTTCCATGGCGGCATGGGGACCACCAGCAGGCAGTTCCATGGCGGCATGGGAGCACCAGCAGGCAGTTCCATGGCGGCAGGGGACCACCAGCAGGCAGTTCCATGGCGGCATGGGACCACCAGCAGGCAGTTCCATGGCGGCATGGGACCACCAGCAGGCAGTTCCATGGCGGCATGGGACCACCAGCAGGCAGTTCCATGGCGGCATGGGACCACCAGGCAGTTCCATGGCGGCATGGGACCACCAGCAGGCAGTTCCATGGCGGCATGGGACCACCAGCAGGCAGTTCCATGGCGGCATGGGACCACCAGCAGGCAGTTCCATGGCGGCATGGGACCACCAGGGCAGTTCCATGGCGCATGGGACCACCAGCAGGCAGTTCCATGGCGGCATGGGACCACCAGCAGGCAGTTCCATGGCGGCATGGGACCACCACCAGGCAGTTCCATGGCGGCATGGGACCACCAGCAGGCAGTTCCATGGCGGCATGGGACCACCAGCAGGCAGTTCCATGGCGGCATGGGACCACCAGCAGGCAGTTCCATGGCGGCATGGGACCACCAGCAGGCAGTTCCATGGCGGCATGGGACCACCAGCAGGCAGTTCCATGGCGGCATGGGACCACCACCAGGCAGTTCCATGGCGGCATGGGACCACCAGGGGGCTCTCTCCTCCGCCTGCTACACCTGATGGGAGCAGGCACGAGGGAGGTCGGGGAGTAAGAGGAGAGGGGCATGAGCACCTTCAAGTTTCAACTCCTCGTCTTCATCACCTCCTTCGGCTTCCCCTGATCCATTCACAAAAAATACATCTTTGGCAGCAGTGTATATAACCCTGCACATACTTGCTTATTTGCAGCAGTGTATGTAAAATAGCACGCACAAACCCTGTACTTGCCCATACCTGCTACTTGCCCATACCTGCTACTTGCCCATACCTGCTTCTCATAGTCCACCTCCATCATTTTCAACTCCTCCTCCTCATCCGCTTCTTCAGCATCTTCTCCAGAACTCCCTTCTTCCCCTTCTCCCCCTTCTCCCCCTTCCCCTCGGATATCTCCCTCGGATCCATCTTCTGGCCCAGTTTCACTGGGCTCCTCGTGTGCCCCATGCACCGCTGATGTTCCGAAACTCTCCACTCCCTCCCTCCTGCTTTCTGTTGTCTGCTTCCCGAAATCAGTTGTGGCAGGCGAGCTGCCTGAAGTTGCAGGGACAGCAGCAGCAGCAGCAGCAGCAGCAGCAGCAGCAGCAGGACCAACACTGCTAGCAGAACCAGCAGCATGCACGTCGGGAAGACCACACCCGTGAATCCAAGTGCTTAGGGAGGTAGCAGCAGGGAAGTCAACAGACGGGGATGTACTGAGCAGGTACGGTTGGGGCTGTGACTGTGGCAGCACGGCAAGAGACTGCGGTTGTTGTCTGCTTTGTGCTGCTGTGCAGTCAATTGCCACTGCTGCCGCTGGGAACGGGGACACAGAGGCAGCAGGTACAGGTACAGGACCAGCAATAGCGGACAAAACAACACCCCCACCAGTGCTGCCACTGCCACCACTGCCACCACCGCCACCACTGCCACCACTGCCACCACTGCTACTGTTACCACCCTCACTACTGCCACCACTGCTACTGTTACCACCCTCACTACTGTCACCAGCACCAACGGCACGAGAGGTGGCGGAATGAGGGGTGGGACCATGAGGTGTGGGGCCATAAGGGGTGGGGCCATGAGCCGCAGCGAGTGGAGGGGGGAAAGGGACAAGGGGCATGGTAGCAGGGGAGAGGGGAGTGGTGGGAGGGAAGCGGTGGTGGGGGGAGGGGGGGAGTAGGGAGGGGAGGGGCAGCGGAGTGATGGAAGGGGATGGGTTTGAAGGTTGGGGTTGAGAGATCGGGAGAAAGATTGAGGGGGGAGGAGCAGCAGCAGCAGGTGTGGCAGCTGCAGTTGCGGGTTTTGCGCTGCGAGCAGCGACTGCTGGCAGTGGATTGGTGGGAGGATGAGGAGAGGCAGTAGCAAGAGGGGGCGGTGCAGGAGCAGAAGCTGTGGAAGTTGGCGTGATAACGGCAGGAACAGGGGCAGGAGTGGCAGCAGCAGCAGCAGCAGGGGAAGGTGTGGTAGCAGCGAGAACAGGAGATGGTGCGACAGCTGCAGGTGCATTAGAAATTGGGGTGGCTGCAGGAGCAACAGCAACGGAGGAGGAGGAGGGGCCAGCAGCCAGGTTGAGGAGGGAGAGGAAGGAGGAGGGGCGAGTGAGGGAGGGGGGATGCAGGGGTTGGGCCGAGGGGTCTGAGGCGGAGACCACTGCTTCAAACAGAGAGAAGTCCTGCAGGCATGCAGTTCGATGCATTGCGGTGACATGCGGTGCCATGCCATGCCATGCCATGGAGGGAAGGAAGACAGGTGGGATAAAGTGGTGAGCAGAGCCGAGGGGTCTGAGGTGGACACTTCTTCAACAAGAGAGAGAGATGCTGCTGGGAATTTTGCGCCATGCCGCACAATGCCATGCCAAAACCGTGCCATGCCATGCCGCACCAAGCCATGCCATGCCACACCAAGCCATGCCATGCGACGCAGTGGTGCCATAAAGGCAGGGTTTCGGGTTTAGGGTCAATGGCTCATGCATCACTTATGGTTCAAGAGGGAGGGATTCGCACACTAGCATGGACCGTGGCACATGCATCGGTTGTGGAGCATAGAGGATTCCAGCAAACAATCAGGCAACGTAGGCGTCACGGCTGAGGGGAAAGTGGAGAGGAAGGCTCAGGAGGAAGGTGGTTGAAAGAGGGAGAGGGGGATGAAAGAGACGGAAGAGGAAGAGACGGTGGAGAAGCAGGGCGAATGCTTACCACACAGCGCCGGCCGTTGGCAGCTCGATACACCATCTTCCTGCAGCGGTGGTGGTTGGGACACACGTGGGGTTCACACGGGAGAGATGGTGAGGGGAAGGGTGGTGAGTGGGTTAGAGGCAGGTCCGATTCTAACCACACAGCACCTGCCATTTGCAGCTCGATACATCATCTTTCTGTGGAGGTGGTGAGGAGAAAATTCAGGAGGTGGGTTGGGGAGAGAGTTTTTAGGTGATGAGGAGAAAATAAGGGTGGTGGGAGGAAGAGCAATCAAGTTCTCAAGGAAAGAGAGTGGGAATGGGGGGAGAGGAGAGAGGGGAGAAGGAATCAGGCACTCACACAAAGCGGTAGTTGTGCTTGATGTCGCAGGGGCGGTAGGAATGGCGCACTGCAAGTCGGAAACACGCAGGAGATGGGGGCAGCGGAGAGGGGGAAGGAGTGATAGTTGTGTTGTGATGACGCGTGGATGGCACGAATGGCGCATTGCGAGTAACTAACACACACATGTAGGGAAGAGAGACATTTGGGGGGGAAGGGATGGGGGGAAAGGGTGTGGGGAGTGGGTTAGTAGCTGTGTTTGCTGTCTGGAATGTCAACAGGGTCCTTGCTATATATTTGCTCAGTCCCCTTGCTTACATCGCTCAGTCACCGTGCAATATTCGTTCAGTCACCTTGCAAACGCTTGCTAAAGCCACCTTGCTGCACTCACTTGTCATTTTCGCTAGACACATTTATCAATGACATTCGGTAGAGTCACATTCACTACACTCACCTTGCAGGGTGGCAGAGGTGGAGCAGTCCACAGCCTCCAGCAGCACCAGGATCTCCAGGTCTGACCGCTCCATCATCTGGAATTAGAGGGGGCAACAGCGGAGCACGAGGAGCCGTAGTTGAGGGCAGGGAGTGGTGGGAGAAAACGAATCACCTCACTGACCCTCTCCGGCAGTCCACAGCCTCCAGCAGCACCAGAATCTCCAGGTCTGACCGCTCCATCATCTAGACAGGAGGTGGGGGGGGGGGTGAAGGGGGGGGGGGGGAGGGCAATAAGGGTGGAAGGGGAGAGCAAGAAGGGTGTATTCCTCTAACCCTCTCCGGGAGTCCACAGCCTCCAGCAGCACCAGGATGTCCAGGTGTGACCGCTCCATCATCTGGCATAACGTGAGGGGAAGCGGAGTAACAAGGGTAGGGGGATGGGGGATTGCGTAGAGAGAGAAGTTGAGAATTGCAGCAGCAGGCGGATGTCCAGGTGTGACCGCTCCATCATCTGAATGGGTCAAAGCCAAACACGGCGAATCCCCTGACCGACCCCCCAGCATACGGTGCCTCCAGCAGCACCGGAATGTCACTCCCTGGTACTCCAGTCCGATACGATCGATAAGGCGTATGCGGGCTTCAAATCAAAGCGTGAGCGTAAAGGACCTGAGGGCCTCTAAGGTGCTGCAAAGGCCAGGGCGCGGCCTGAGGGCTCCACCACCTTGCTTGCTTGTCGCGTCCCGTATGGTTGAGGTCGTACGTACGTTAGTTCTTACCTCGTCTGACGCACATGCGTCAAATGCACACACGGCAGGTATGTGTGGCCTTACATTGCAGAGTGTGATCTTATAGAGTGTAAACTCGGACCCATTGATATTGACAAGAAAAAATCTGAAGCAAGGCAATGGCTTGTGTGAGGGGATGACTCTTGACGCACATCACAGGGGACGAGCCTTCAAAATTTGCACTACACATTTTGTGCACAGGCATAGGCACAGGCACAGGCACAGGCACAGGCACAGGCACAGGCACAGGCACAGGCACAGGCACAGGCACAGGCACAGGCACAGGCACAGGCACAGGCACAGGCACAGGCACAGGCACAGGCACAGGCACAGGCACAGGCACAGGCACAGGCACAGGCACAGGCACAGGCACAGGCACAGGCACAGGCACAGGCACAGGCACAGGCACAGGCACAGGCACAGGCACAGGCACAGGCACAGGCACAGGCACAGGCACAGGCACAGGCACAGGCACAGGCACAGGCACAGGCACAGGCACAGGCACAGGCACAGGCAGGCACAGGCACAGGCACAGGCACAGGCACAGGCACAGGGCACAGGCACAGGCACAGGCACAGGCACAGGCACAGGCACAGGCACAGGCACAGGCACAGGCACAGGCACAGGCACAGGCACAGGCACAGGCACAGGCACAGGCACAGGCACAGGCACAGGCACAGGCACAGGCACAGGCACAGGCACAGGCACAGGCACAGGCACAGGCACAGGCACAGGCACAGGCACAGGCACAGGCACAGGCACAGGCACAGGCAGCTGGGAGAATTTCTACGCCCACTCCTTGTCACCTAGCATGCGTGGATACTCGTTCAGCTGCGGCTTTACAGAGTGTGATCGTACCGAGCATGAGCCATATAGCGGGCTGCCATGCGCCACAGCGTGTGTGACAGCGCAGGGCAGGCCCAGGTAGATTTGACTCTAGGCCCAAAGTTCTCAATGGCACGAATGGGACAAGCCACATAGCAGGCTGCCATGCGTCACAGCGTGTGTGACAGCACAGGGCAGGCCCAGGTAGATCTGACTGCCGCCAGGCAGCTGGGAGGAACACCCACCCACTCCTTGGCATGGCGCTGCTTCTCACCTCGTGTCACCTTGCTTACCTCGCGTCACCTTGCTTACCTCGTGTCACCTTGCTTACCTCGCGTCACCTTGCTTACCTCGCGTCACCTTGCTTACCTCGCGTCACCTTGCTTACCTCGCGTCACCTTGCTTACCTCGCGTCACCTTGCTTACCTCGCGTCACCTTGCTTATCTCGCGTCACCTTGCTTACCTCGCGTCACCTTGCTTACCTCGTGTCACCTTGCTTACCGAGTGCGACAAGCCGTATAACGGGCTGCCATGAGTGATGGCGTGAGTGACAGTGCAGGGCAGCCCCAGGTAGATCTGACTGCCGCCAGCCACAGGCAGCTGGGAGAACTTGAAGACTGACTCGTCCTCGTGTGCTAAGATGTTGTTGTTTAGAGCGGCTAGCATGCGCACGTGCGCCTGACAGGGGGCGATGGTTAGAAATGAAAAAAAGGCTGCTGGGAGAACTTGAAGACTGACTAGTTCTTGGGTGCCAAGATGTTGTTGACCACTGCTGACAAGCGCATGTGCGCCTGATCACATACATTGTGGTCAGTGTGCAGCTGCTTCAAATATAACAGCTACGCCAAGGTGTGATAATAGACATTGCAACTAACTTGCCCTCGCATGCTAGGACGTTGCTTGCAAGCGCATGTGTGCCTGAAGGGGGCGTGATTATCAGTTGTGGACATAGAGGGAGGGGGAACGGAAGCGAAACTAGGGCCATTGACGCGTCCTTGTCAGCTGAGACCTTGTTGCTATCTCCAGCACTGGAGCCTGGTGGGGAGATTAATTGTATGAATAAATGTTGTAGAGAAAAAAAAGTGTAGAGGGAGAATATAATAACATATGACTATTGTGAGCATGGATGGGGCGCGATGGGACGAGATGACATGCACGAGCATGGTTGAACGATGAGATCGACAGTAACAGGCAAGACCCCCAGCTTACAAATATGATCTGGTAATTGAGCACGTGTCCTTGAGATGATTTCGGGCTCATCACAACAGCTTCTGTCATCGCCTGATTCGTGCTGGCGCCACACGAGAGTATGTCCACACGACCCAAGTGATACGACACAGAGTGTTTCGACCAGAATGCAACATGACCTAATGTCATACGGGAAGACGCCAGCACAATGCTCTCGAACACGATTCCATGCTCACAGGTATGATTTTGTGCAGCGAAGGTCGGTAAGAGCGAGCACGATTTGCTGGTATAATTTTGTGCTTACAGATATGATTTGATGCTTCCTGAAATCAGCCACTCGGAAGGCGAGGCGCAGCTGACCAAACTCCTGTGGGCAACGCAAGAGGCAGAGAGGCACAAGAGGCATCAGAGAGACACAGGCAGAGAGGGAGAGGCAGAGAGGAGCAAAGAGCCAGCAGAGAGCAACAGGCAGAGAGGGAAAGGCAGAGAGGAGCAAAGTGGCAGCAGAGAGCCACAGGCAGAGAGGGAAAGGCAGAGAGGAGCAAAGTGGCAGCAGAGAGCCATAGGCAGAGAGGGAGAGGCAGAGAGGAGCAAAGAGGCAGCAGAGAGCCACAAGACATGACAGCAGTGCAGGAGAGCATGATGAACGAAGGGGCAAGGAGAAATACACAACACAAGGTGAAGGAGCAAAAGGCTGATTCGGAATGAGATGTGTGATGTGACGCAGCATAGGACGCACCTCATACATGACCATGCATGCACCATACCTCATACATGACCATGCATGCACCATACCTCATACATGACCATGCATGCACCATACCTCATACATGACCATGCATGCACCATACCTCATTCATGACCATGCATGCACCATACCTCATACATAACCATCCATGCACCCCTCATACATGACCATGCATGCACCATGCACCATACCATACCTCGTACATGACCAAGCACCATATCTCATACATGATCATGTATTGGCTGAACTTGATGGTTTTGGGTTTAGGGGTACAGTGGGATTGATTAGTCTGCCATACCTCGTACATGACCATGTATTGGCTGAACTTGATGGTGCCGGCACGCCGAGTGGGGCGGGAGAACCTGCAAATTGACGGTACGGGGATGGGCGTATGCGGATGGGGGTACGGGGACGGGGGTATGCGGACGGGGGGAATAGGACCAGCGTACGGGGATGGTGGTGTGGGGATGGTGGTATGGGGATGGTGGTATGGCATGGAGATATTGTTATGGGAATGGTGTTGTGGCCATAGGGATATGGGCATGGGGATATGGGCATGGAGATATGGGCATGGGGATATGGCATGGGGGCATGGGCTTTGGAGTATGGGCACGGTGGGATCGAGTTTGGTGCAAGGAGTTTCACGCCCCTGAACAGCATACAGTGAGATCATGTCCCCATGATGGTGTGCTATTGATGCCATGGTGTGCTATTGATGCCATGGTGTGCATGGTGTTGCTATTGATGCCATGGTGTGCTATTGATGCCATGGTGTGCTATTGATGCCATGGTGTGCTATTGATGCCATGGTGTGCTATTGATGCCATGGTGTGCTATTGATGCCATGGTGTGCTATTGATGCCATGGTGTGCTATTGATGCCATGGTGTGCTATTGATGCCATGGTGTGCTATTGATGCCATGGTGTGCTATTGATGCCATGGTGTGCTATTGATGCCATGGTGTGCTATTGATGCCATGGTGTGCTATTGATGCCATGGTGTGCTATTGATGCCATGGTGTGCTATTGATGCCATGGTGTGCTATTGATGCCATGGTGTGCTATTGATGCCATGGTGTGCTATTGATGCCATGGTGTGCTATTGATGCCATGGTGTGCTATTGATGCCATGGTGTGCTATTGATGCCATGGTGTGCTATTGATGCCATGGTGTGCTATTGATGCCATGGTGTGCTATTGATGCCATGGTGTGCTATTGATGCCATGGTGTGCTATTGATGCCATGGTGTGCTATTGATGCCATGGTGTGCTATTGATGCCATGGTGTGCTATTGATGCCATGGTGTGCTATTGATGCCATGGTGTGCTATTGATGCCATCGTGTGCTATTGATGCCATCGTGTGCTATTGATGCCATGGTGTGCTATTGATGCCATGGTGTGCTATTGATGCCATGGTGTCACACACACTCTGAGTTAAAATTGCTCCACATGAGGGCGACCACCAAGTGTAACCATACCCTATGGTGTCACGGCGAATCCTAGAGAGGAGTTGACTGCATTCTGAGCCAACTTGAACCAAACACGTACTTGACATAGAAGACACCGAGCAGCGCATAGGCGAAGCCTAGAGTGACCACAGAGAGCACAGCCACAAGGGAGTTGACCACAAAGCAGTCCGGGTGGGGTGTGAGGTCTCCACCGAACCCTGGGAGGGGAGGGACGTGGAGAGAGATGGAGAGGATGGAGAGGGAAGAGAGATAGCCTGGTCACCACCGAACCATGAAGGAGTAGGGGCATGGAGAGGGGTGGAAAGGAAAGGAAAGGCATAGGCTACTGAGAGAACGGAGAGCAAAATGCCAAAGAGATTGAAAGGAGAGCAGTCCAGGTGGGTTTTGAGATCACCACCAAACCCAGGGAGCGGAGAGATGCGGAGGCATGGAAATGAAAGACATGGGCGATTGAGAGAATGGAGAGCAATGCGCCAAAGAGATCGACAGGGGCGAAGCCTGGGTAGGGTGTGAGGTCTCCACCGAACCCGGGGAGAGGAGGGATGTGAAGGGATGGAAAGTAGAGACATAGACTGGCCAGACAACAGAGAGCACATAAATGGCCATCTAGGAGGAAGATGACATGGGAGAAGGAAGACAAAAAAACCAGCAAGTATAAGCATTCGACGTCATCCCATAACACAACCGCGTAGCGCAGTGGATTAGCGCGTTCGACTTCGGATCGAAAGGTCGCGGGTTCGATCCCCGTCGTGGTTGCTTTTTCGTAAAACTTCAACAACGCTGACAACTTGCCAGCAATGCCAGTCCGGCCTCATTTTATTACCCCTCGCATAATACAGGCCAAAAACAAGTCCGTCCTGGTAACTTTCAGGTGGTCTCAAAAAGCGATGGACGATCAAAGAGGAATAAAGGTGGGGGTAAGCGGGTGCATGTGAGCCAACAAGCCAAAATTGCATGCTGTGAGAGAGAGGAAGCAACGATATGGCCTGCTACTGAAGGATAAAGAGAGTGGTGCAGATGGGGTGTAGGCAAACATGAGAGAAGAGAGGAAGGGAGCGAGGAGACTGACCAATTGACATGGAAGACTGAACGCTGTTGAAAATTGGTGGTACAGACGATTAGAGCACCGAGCGTCAGAGGCAGCAGGCGATGAAGAAGAAGAGAGCACCCAGCACCAGACCGAAGCACGCAGCAGCAGATCTCATAACATGCACACAGATAGACAAGGGGCAGGCATAATGCGAAGAGAGCACCCAGCACCCGGCACCCAGCACCGAACAGAGGGGAGCAGATGGTATAGCATGCACAACGACAGACAAGGGGCAGGCATTTTGGCATTTGAGTCCACTCAAAAGTCATGACGCAGCAGCAGATGAGGTAGCATGCACATAGGGCAGGCATGCTGCAAAGAATGCAAGGAAAGATGCATCAAGGGCAAAGGGGCAGGGAAGTGGTTCAGACTATGCTGGCGCACTGTCAAAGACTGCCCACACACGCTGACCTCACACGCTGGCCTCACACACTGACCTCACACGCTGACCTCACACGCTGACCTCACACGCTGACCTCACACGCTGACCTCACACGCTGACCTCACACGCTGACCTCACACGCTGACCTCACACGCTGACCTCACACGCTGACCTCACACGCTGGCCTCACACGCTGACCTCACACGCTGACCTCACACGCTGACCTCACACGCTGACCTCACACGCTGACCTCACACGCTGGCCTCACACGCTGACCTCACACGCTGACCTCACACGCTGACCTCACACGCTGACCACACACGCTGACCTCACACGCTGACCTCACACGCTGACCTCACACGCTGACCTCACACGCTGACCTCACACGCTGACCTCACACGCTGACCTCACACGCTGACCTCACACGCTGGCCTCACACGCTGGCCTCACACGCTGGCCTCACACGCTGGCCTCACACGCTGGCCTCACACGCTGACCTCACACGCTGGCCTCACACGCTGACCTCACACGCTGACCTCACACGCTGACCTCACACGCTGACCTCACACGCTGACCTCACACGCTGACCTCACACGCTGACCTCACACGCTGGCCTCACACGCTGGCCTCACACGCTGGCCTCACACGCTGCCTCACACGCTGACCTCACACGCTGACCACCGCTGACCTCACACGCTGACCTCACACGCTGACCACACACGCTGACCTCACACGCTGACCTCACACGCTGACCTCACACGCTGACCTCACACGCTGACCTCACACGCTGACCTCACACGCTGGCCTCACACGCTGACCTCACACGCTGACCTCACACGCTGACCTCACACGCTGACCTCACACGCTGACCTCACACGCTGGCCTCACACGCTGGCCTCACACGCTGGCCTCACACGCTGGCCTCACACGCTGGCCTCACACGCTGACCTCACACGCTGACCTCACACGCTGGCCTCACACGCTGCCCTCACACGCTGACCTCACACGCTGACCTCACACGCTGACCTCACACGCTGACCTCACACGCTGGCCTCACACGCTGACCTCACACGCTGACCACACACACATCGTCAAAGGTTGTGTGTCTGGCCAACCGGATGCAGAAACAACCCAACAAACAAACACACCCATCAGTGCACGCATAAGCGAGCACACACACACACCAATACAAGCCAGTGCACGCGCAAGGAAGCAAGCACAGGCAGGAGCGCAAGAACGTGCCCACGCACGTGAAGCATACAGCACAGTCCACTCCTCTGACCCCTGGCATGCAGCCAAGACCGTCAAGTCATGTATACATACAAAATGACTGCACTCACTTGAACCAGATGGCCTGGTCCAGCCACTTGACCCCTAACAGGCAGTCTAGACCGGCAATTGATGAAACACCATTTGAGGGATCACAAACATGTCACATGCACACACGTGCACACATGCAAAGGCATGCACTCACATAAACCACACAACGTGGTCCAGCCGCTTGACTCCTGGCAGGCAGTGAGGACCGACAACCGGCGAAACTCCGTTAAACAAGCACAGATGTATCACATGCACACATGCAACTTCCTGCACTCACGTAAACCACACGGCATGGTCCAGCCGCTTGACTCCTGGCAGACAGTCAAGACCGTCCACTCGAGCCTGAGAGCACGTGCATAGTGCACGGGCGGGGAGAGGGGGGAGGGGGCGGAGGGGTGAGAGCAGCACACCTGAACCACACGGCATGGTCCGTCGCCTCATCCCAGCCAGGCAGTCAAGGCCGTCCATTCGGGCCTGAGAGCACACGTATGGTGTACTGGTGAGGGCCGGGAGTTGGGAGGGAGAAGATTATGGGGAGGGGGAGGGCAGGAGTGCACTATGCACAAACAGCACGGTCCAGCCACTTGACTCCTGGCAGGTAGCCAAGGCTGTCCACTCGAGGCTGAGAGCACGTGCATGTGGGGGATGGGTGCGGAAAACGGATAGGGAGGGATTGGAGAGGGGAGATGTGCACACGTGAACCACACAGCGTGCTCCAGCCGCTTAACCCATGGCAGGCAGTCTAGACCGTCCACTGGAGCCTGAGAGCACGTGCATGTGGGGGATGCGTGGGGAGGAACGGAGTGGGGAGGAAGCGGTGAGTGGGGAGGGGAATGGGAGGTGTGTACACATGAACGAAACGGCACGATCCAGTTGCTTGACCCCTGGCAGGCAGTCTGGACCATCAACTCGAGCCTGGGAGCAGGTGTATGGTGTACCGGTGTGTGGTGTACCGGTGGGGAGAGGGGCATGGGGGGGGCAGGGCGAACGGGGGAGGGGGAAGCAACCGGGGAGTAGGGAAGGGGGGCGGGAAGCGGGGGAGGGTTGTGAGAGCTGTAAGCTTCAAGCACACGGTGTGTCCTCTGTGGTCACAGGGTGTTTTTGAGAATTCTAAAAAACACACGGTGTGTCCTCTGTGGTCACGGAGCCTCTGTAACCACAGAGTCTTGTAACCTCTGGCAGGCAGTCAAGGCCGGCCACTTGAACCTGAGATGTGGGACATGGGTGGAGAGAGGGCATGGCTCGCGGGAAGTAAGAGGCCTGAGATGGGAAGCGGCATGGGGCTGCGTGTAAGGGCATGGGGTGGGACATAAATCACACATGAAGCCAAGGAATAAGGGCATTGGAAGAGGTATAGAAAGGTGTTTTTTGAGACCGAAGGGAGTGAAGATGCGAGGCAGGGAGAGGGAGAGCGTGAGAGAGGAGGGGAGAGTGTGGTCGCCTGCTATTCCCGTGGCTGCTGCAGACCGGGAGAGGGGTGCGGTGGGGAGAACGAGGGGGAGAGAGCGCTGACAACAGCGAGAAAGGGGATGACTGAAGCAGCAAAGAGGGCAGCATAGGCCGCCACAAGCACAGCTAGGAGGTATTTTCAAGCGCCATAGAAAGAGACAGTGAGGTAGAGGGCTTGCTAAGGAGAGAAGTGTGGGAAAGGGATAGAGGGCTCGCTAAGGAGAGAAGTGTGGGAAAGGGATAGAGGGCTCGCTAAGGAGAGAAGTGTGGGAAAGGGATAGAGGGCTCGCTAAGGAGAGAAGTGTGGGAAAGGGATAGAGGGCTCGCTAAGGAGAGAAGTGTGGGAAAGGGATAGAGGGCTCGCTAAGGAGAGAAGTGTGGGAAAGGGATAGAGGGCTCGCTAAGGAGAGAAGTGTGGGAAAGGGATAGAGGGCTCGCTAAGGAGAGAAGTGTGGGAAAGGGATAGAGGGCTCACAAAGGCAAGAAATGGGATGGCAAATGCAACGAAGAGAGCAGCATAGGCCGCCACGAGGACGACTGAGAAGCGCTTTAGAGGCATCTGCGAGGGGGTGGGGGGTTTGATTTGAAAAAAGATGGGGGTTTGAGCAAGGATGGGAGGTTTGAGAAAACATGGGAGGTTTGAGCCAGTCATGAAAAAGGCATGACTCGTGTCGACGGGTACGGAAATGGCGTTGACTCACGTTGACCAGCGTTGACTCCGTTGACCAGCATTGACTCACGCTGTCCAGCATTGACTCATGCTGACCAGCATTGACTGACGTTGACCAGCATTGACTCACGTTGACCAGCGTGTGAAAGAGGTCCACAAAGTACACGTTCAGCTTCGGATACCCGTGCAGCTCAATGTTGAGGCGGCCTCTGGAGCGTGAGGGGGGGGGGTGGGGGGGTGGTGAAAGGACGAAGGGAGGGAGGGAGGTGGGGATAACGGTGGGTGAATGTGTGCCTAGGCGTTCAGCTTTGGGTACCCGTGCAGCCCAATGTTGAGACGATCGCTGGTAGGGGAAGGGAGTGAGGGAGGTGGAGTGGTGAACGGGTCTGAGTCCACACGTTCAGTTTCGAGTGCCTATGCAGCTCAATGCTGAGACGGGTGCTGATGGGGTGGGGTGGAGGACGAAGGGACGGAGTTGGGGGAGTGGTGGTGGGTGAGTCTGAGCCAGGAGTTCAGCTTCGGGTACCCGTGCAGCTCGATGCTCACGCAGCCGCTGATGGGGCGGAGGACGAAGGGAGGGAGTTGGGGAGTGGTGGGTGAGTCTGAATGTGCACTTGCAGCTTTGAGTGCCCATGCAGCTTTGAGTGCACTTGCAGCTTTGAGTGCACTTGCAGCTTTGAGTGCCCGTGCAGCTTTGAGTGCCCGTGCAGCTTTGAGTACCCGTGCAGCGCAATGTTCAAACGGCCTCTGGCGCGGTGCAGGACCAAGGGCAGGAGGGGAGTGGGGGGAGTGAGGGGAGTGATGGGAGTGATGGGAGTGAGGGGAGTGATGGGAGTGATGGGAGTGATGGGAGTGATGGGAGTGATGGGAGTGATGGGAGTGATGGGAGTGATGGGAGTGATGGGAGTGATGGGAGTGATGGGAGTGATGGGAGTGATGGGAGTGAGGGGAGTGATGGGAGTGATGGGAGTGATGGGAGTGATGGGAGTGATGGGAGTGATGGGAGTGGGGGGAGTGATGGGAGTGATGGGAGTGATGGGAGTGATGGGAGTGATGGGAGTGATGGGAGTGAGGGGAGTGATGGGAGTGATGGGAGTGATGGGAGTGATGGGAGTGATGGGAGTGATGGGAGTGATGGGAGTGATGGGAGTGATGGGAGTGATGGGAGTGATGGGAGTGATGTGATGGGAGTGATGGGAGTGATGGGAGTGATGGGAGTGATGGGAGTGATGGGAGTGATGGGAGTGGGGGGAGTGATGGGAGTGATGGGAGTGATGGGAGTGATGGGAGTGGGGGGAGTGATGGGAGTGATGGGAGTGATGGGAGTGATGGGAGTGATGGGAGTGATGGGAGTGATGGGAGTGAGGGGAGTGATGGGAGTGATGGGAGTGATGGGAGTGATGGGAGTGATGGGAGTGATGGGAGTGATGGGAGTGATGGGAGTGATGGGAGTGATGGGAGTGATGGGAGTGATGGGAGTGATGGGAGTGATGGGAGTGATGGGAGTGATGGGAGTGATGGGAGTGATGGGAGTGATGGGAGTGATGGGAGTGATGGGAGTGATGGGAGTGATGGGAGTGATGGGAGTGATGGGAGTGATGGGAGTGATGGGAGTGATGGGAGTGATGGGAGTGATGGGAGTGATGGGAGTGATGGGAGTGATGGGAGTGATGGGAGTGGGGGGAGGAGTGATGGGAGTGATGGGAGTGGATGGGGAGTGATGGGAGTGATGGGAGTGGAGGGGAGTGATGGGAGTGATGGGAGTGATGGGAGTGATGGGAGTGATGGGAGTGATGGGAGTGATGGGAGTGATGGGAGTGGGGGAGTGATGGGAGTGATGGGAGTGATGGGAGTGGGGGAGTGATGGGAGTGATGGGAGTGATGGGAGTGAGGGGAGTGATGGGAGTGATGGGAGTGAGGGGAGTGAGGGGAGTGAGGGGAGTGAGGGGAGTGAGGGGAGTGAGGGGAGTGATGGGAGTGATGGGAGTGATGGGAGTGATGGGAGTGGGGGAGTGATGGGAGTGATGGGAGTGATGGGAGTGGGGGGAGTGATGGGAGTGATGGGAGTGATGGGAGTGATGGGAGTGATGGGAGTGATGGGAGTGATGGGAGTGATGGGAGTGATGGGAGTGATGGGAGTGGGGGGAGTGATGGGAGTGATGGGAGTGATGGGAGTGATGGGAGTGGGGGGAGTGATGGGAGTGATGGGAGTGATGGGAGTGAGGGGAGTGATGGGAGTGATGGGAGTGATGGGAGTGATGGGAGTGATGGGAGTGATGGGAGTGAGGGGAGTGATGGGAGTGAGGGGAGTGATGGGAGTGATGGGAGTGATGGGAGTGATGGGAGTGAGGGGAGTGAGGGGAGTGAGGGGAGTGAGGGGAGTGAGGGGAGTGAGGGGAGTGAGGGGAGTGATGGGAGTGATGGGAGTGATGGGAGTGATGGGAGTGGGGGGAGTGATGGGAGTGATGGGAGTGATGGGAGTGGGGGGAGTGATGGGAGTGATGGGAGTGATGGGAGTGATGGGAGTGATGGGAGTGAGGGGAGTGATGGGAGTGATGGGAGTGATGGGAGTGATGGGAGTGGGGGGAGTGATGGGAGTGATGGGAGTGATGGGAGTGATGGGAGTGGGGGAGTGATGGGAGTGATGGGAGTGATGGGAGTGGGGGGAGTGATGGAGTGATGGGAGTGATGGGAGTGAGGGGAGTGATGGGAGTGATGGGAGTGATGGGGGAGTGATGGGAGGGGAGTGATGGGAGTGAGGGAGTGATGGGAGTGATGGGAGTGAGGGGAGTGATGGGAGTGATGGGAGTGATGGGAGTGATGGGAGTGAGGGGAGTGATGGGAGTGAGGGGAGTGATGGGAGTGAGGGGAGTGATGGGAGTGAGGGGAGTGATGGGAGTGAGGGGAGTGATGGGAGTGATGGGAGTGAGGGGAGTGATGGGAGTGAGGGGAGTGATGGGAGTGAGGGGAGTGAGGGGAGTGATGGGAGTGAGGGGAGTGATGGGAGTGAGGGGAGTGATGGGAGTGAGGGGAGTGAGGGGAGTGAGGGGAGTGAGGGGAGTGAGGGGAGTGAGGGGAGTGAGGGGAGTGAGGGGAGTGAGGGGAGTGAGGGGTCTGAGTGGGTGGCGGAACCACTCCAACAATGGCTGAGCGTCAGGCTTGGCGTTCAGCTTGGGGAGATGGAGGGAAGCTCAATGCTCAGCCGGCCACCGATGGGGTGGAGGATAAGAGGGAAAGAGGATAAGAGGGAAAGAGGATAAGAGGGAAAGAGGATAAGAGGGAAAGAGGATAAGAGGGAAAGAGGATAAGAGGGAAAGAGGATAAGAGGGAAAGAGGATAAGAGGGAAAGAGGATAAGAGGGAAAGAGGATAAGAGGGAAAGAGGATAAGAGGGAAAGAGGATAAGAGGGAAAGAGGATAAGAGGGAAAGAGGATAAGAGGGAAAGAGGATAAGAGGGAAAGAGGATAAGAGGGAAAGAGGATAAGAGGGAAAGAGGATAAAGAAAGAGGATAAGAGGGAAAGAGGATAAGAGGGAAAGAGGATAAGAGGGAAAGAGGATAAGAGGGAAAGAGGATAAGAGGGAAAGAGGATAAGAGGGAAAGAGGATAAGAGGGAAAGAGATAAGAGGGAAAGAGGATAAGAGGGAAAGAGGATAAGAGGGAAAGAGGATAAGAGGGAAAGAGGATAAGAGGGAAAGAGGATAAGAGGGAAAGAGGATAAGAGGGAAAGAGGATAAGAGGGAAAGAGGATAAGAGGGAAAGAGGATAAGAGGGAAAGAGGATAAGAGAGGATAAGAGGAAAGAGGATAAGAGGGAAAGAGGATAAGAGGGAAAGAGGATAAGAGGGAAAGAGGATAAGAGGGAAAGAGGATAAGAGGGAAAGAGGATAAGAGGGAAAGAGGATAAGAGGGAAAGAGGATAAGAGGGAAAGAGGATAAGAGGGAAAGAGGATAAGAGGGAAAGAGGATAAGAGGGAAAGAGGATAAGAGGGAAAGAGGATAAGAGGGAAAGAGGATAAGAGGGAAAGAGGATAAGAGGGAAAGAGGATAAGAGGGAAAGAGGATAAGAGGGAAAGAGGATAAGAGGGAAAGAGGATAAGAGGGAAAGAGGATAAGAGGGAAAGAGGATAAGAGGGAAAGAGGGGGCAGAGAGCAGGAGTTCGCATTCGGGGTGCCCCTGCAGCTCGCTGCTGAAACAGCCGCTGGATGGAGAGGGAAGGAAGGAGGGAGGGAGGTGCATGAGTCTGTGGCTACATGTTCAGCTTTGGGTGAGACTCAGATTTGGGTGAGACTGAGCTATGGGAACGTGGGTGCCCCTGTAGGTCCATGTTGAAACGGCCGCTGTGCAAGAGAAGGGGAGAGAGGAAAGGGCGAGAGGATGGGAAAAACGAGCCAGTGGAGCGAGGCAGCGAGGGAATGGCGGTGGAGCGAGGCAGGCAGGAGGCACAGAGGCAATGGTTGTGAGGCGCCTCGATACCCGTGCAGCTCAATATTGAGAGGGCTGCTGAAGTAAAGGAGAAGCCACTGGCGAAAGAGCGAGAACGAGGGAGGGTGGAGAGAGTGCGAGGATGGAGCAAGTGCGAAGGGGGAGCAAGTGCGAGGGGGGAAGAAGTGCGGGATTGGAGGGAGTGCGGGGGTGGAGGAAGGGCGAGGGTGGAGGATTTGCGTACGATTCGTCGACGAGAGGAAGCTTCTTAATCTCCGACTGCTGCTGGTGCTGGTTCTGCTGGTGCTGCTGTTGCTGTTGATGTTGCCTCGCTCGCCCCTGCTGCCATGCTGCCACGTGGCTCGTGGGCGGCGAAGCCCCGTGTGCCACGTCAATACGTGAACCGGAATTCGCCATCTACTTGAAGGTTTTTTGCCAGCACGAGGCTTCGACTTTCTAGTAACGGCGCGTAGAAACCGCCAGAACGAACGGCCTCGAGATTGTCGGTCGGGCGCGGCGAGAAAAACGAGTACGATGAATTTTCGCACCCCCCAACACGAGACAGACTAATGAAACATCAATATTCCTAACGCTAACGCCCCGTGGCTCTAAGATGGTACCAGGTCGCCAAGCCAGTTTTCCAGGACATTACTACGTCGGCATATCTTCATTCGGAATGGGAGTCCCGTTCAGTCTGGGTAGAAACTGACGTGATCGGACGGCTCACGTGGCTGCTGCAGGTACCGTGATCGGACGGCTCAGGTGCCTGCTGGGATCTGGCTAAAAAAAAATGCGCCTTCCGTTACGAGACGACGCACAACAAAAATAGGGGGACTAGTTGGGACGCCATATTTAATCAATTTTGATTTTGTGCACATTCTATGAAAGGATGGTGGCTGGCAGGGGGCTAAAGTTGTTATCTTCTCAAGATTATGAGAAGCTGTTGATGGTGTTGTGATAAAATCGTACTTAAGCATTTCTGTAAGTATTCCCGATAGATATTGTCGAATTACACTGTAGTTAGCATCCGTAGAATGACGTCAGCAAATAGCGCTCGTCTGGATGATTACGTCAGCAAGCCGTTTCAGTCACGCGAACAGTTGCGCTCTTTTCAGTAGCGGTTAGAGCGCATAGCGCAAATAGCTCGAACAGGTACATCACCGAATAGGTACTTCTAGCAGATATAAAAGTAGCTTGTACAACTTCAATTGTTAACTTGTTCTGTAAATTCTGGTCAATACTTTACAAGTTCTAAGACTTCCGCTGTCTTACTAGTCTACCATTCCAGCAAAGATCCTTGGGTTAAGTCTTGAAGTATCGCAAGGCTGTAACACTGACTCTGGAGTTACAACTTGTTAATACTGGCTGTTACCGATGGTACTTCCAGTATTACTTTCTACTTCAAGTACTTGTGTCTGCAGAGTCTATACTTAGTCTCCTACACCACCTTTGAGATTCTTTCATGGTATGAGAGCTGTCTGGAATTAAGACTATCGTCAATTCGACTATCGTCAATTTTACAAATGACTGGACCATCACCATCTCCAACGTCTGCTTCTTCAACAACTGGACCCACAGGTATTACAAATCCTACAGTCTTCACTGGTCAAGCAGGTGACTCTGCACCTGGAAATTTTCCACCTGCTTATTCTTCAATTGGGATGCCGCTGTTAACGTAGAAACGAATGATTACTAGAGGTGGAAACCTAGAACAAATACTAGTTGGTTGTACTCACTAGAAGCATACCTCAGTCTAGCCTATAACTTCTACATAGATAATATGTATAAGTTGACACACCCCCTAGGCTAGACAAGGGGTGAAACTAAACAAGAAGCAAACAGCTCAGAGCGGCACTACTAGTCCAACCACTGAGGCAGGGGTCTGGAGACCAGTCAGCAAGAATACAACCAAAACTGAAGCAAGCCAGGGTGGCACTACTAGTCCAGCCACTGGAGGTAAGGCCACAAGGCCAGTCTGACAAGCATATATAATAGAGAGTACACAATCAGGATCCTAACAGGGGAGCAGCTATAGGAACAAGACCAAGCTGTACACAGTGCCGCTGATGATCTTTAGGCGCAAGCGCCTTAGTAAAGATATCAGCTGTGTTGGCACCTGAGGCCAAGTGAACTACGCGGGCCTGGCGGCGCTGCTGTAGCTCGCGCAGGAGGAAGTACCGCAGCTGGATATGCTTCGCTCTGCCCTCAAGCCGAGGCTCCTGACACAGGAGTATCATGGCCCTGTTGTCAGCGTACAGGACCGGGGCAGAGCTAGGCCGCTCACCTAAGTCTGTGAGCAAGAAGGTCAGCCAGCGGAGCTCCTGTGCCGCCATGGCACCAGCGTAGATCTCAGCCTCACAGCTAGACTGAGCCACAGACGACGAGCGAGTGGATCTCCAAGAGATAGCACCCGGACCAAGGCTGAAACAGTAGCCCTGCGACGACCTGAGCGTCTCAGCGTCGTCTGCCCAAGAAGCGTCTGTGTGCCCAGTAAGGACCACTGGCCTGCGTCCTCCTAGCACTAACCCCATGCCTGATGTACTAGCAAGATAACGCAAAACCCTCTTAGCGGCAGACCAGTGCTGAGGTCGGTGTCTGCCTGTAGCCACAAAGCGAGCCAGGATGCTGAGAGGGTATGCGAGATCTGGGCAAGTGCAAGTCATCAGGTACATGAGGCAACCCACCAGCTCTGCGTAGGGGCCACTGGGCTCTACTGGCTCCTCAGGAACGGGAGCAGAGAGCCCATGGTCTACGGGTAGAGGTGTGGGCTGTGCGGAGGAGAACTGAAGACCGAACCTCTGAAGGACCTGACGCACCAAGTGTGATTGGGTCAGAGTGATGGTGCGTGCTGCTCTGTCCTTAGAGATCTGCAGGCCAAGATAGCGACGCAACTCTCCAAGGTCAGTGCAGGTGTGTCTCTTCAGCAGCTCAGCCTTCACAGAGGCCAGTGCGTCCCTGTCAGGAGTAGCGAAGACCAGGTCGTCTACGTAGACAAGGATGTAGAACCGAGTCTGGCCGGAACGCACAAACAGTGAAGGGTCAGCAGAGGATGGAAAGAACTGCAGGTCTGCTAACGTGGCACGTAGCGTGTCGTGCCACTCGCGGGGAGCCTGACGCAGGCCGTAGACCGGGCGCCTGAGAAGCCACTGGGTCCCAGGAGGGAAGGTACCAGTGAAGCCCTGTGGTCGGCGCAGGTAGACCTGCTCGTGTAGGCTGCCCTGAAGAAAGGCAGTAGAGAAGTCGAGGGAGTGAAGCTCGTAGTCACGCTGTGCTGCTACGTGTAGCAGCGCCCGAAGAGTGGTCATCTTCGGGGTCGGGGCGAAGGTCTGGAAGAAGTCAACCCCCTCGCGCTGACTGAAACCTCTGGCCACGTAGCGCGCCTTGAAGACAGGAGACTCTCCAGGGGGGCGCTTCACCTTGAAGAGCCACCGACCATCGACTACGTTCACCCCAGGCGGGGGAACTGCGTCGACGTAAGTGCCGGTGGATCTCCAAGATGCCATCTCCTGCTCCATGGCAGCTATCCACTGAGAGGCCCAAGGTCCCGAGGTGGCCTCAGCGTAAGTGCGAGGGGTCGGGATGTCGAAGGCGTCTGGGTCACCCTCAGGGACTAACAGCATGGAGCAGAGATGGGGAGCAGCCTCGGAAAGGAAAGCCAGCTCGTACTGCCTGTCCTCTAGGACGTCACTGCCAAGGGCAGGAGCACCCCCGACGGACAGAGGACGGGCAGGGTCAGAGACCAGAGCGGTAGCGTAGTCAAGGCGGCGGGTAGAAGCGAAGTCAGCGACAGCAGCGACAAGCGCGTCAAGGCGCGAGACAGGAACAGCAGGGTCGGTAACAAGAGAGGCAAGGACCCGAGGGACAAGGGGACGAGCAGCACGGAGGTAGTCAGAGAACGGAGGAGGTGCAACAGCAAGGGACGAGGGAGGAGGGGACGGGAGGAGGGGAGGACGAGACGAGTGGGAACGGAGCAACATAGGGTGGGTGGGCAGGACAGGAGAGACGGGACGAGCACGGGAGGGACGGCGAGCCCAAACGTGAGACGGAGGGGTAGGGTCAGGGGACAGCGGAGGAGACACAGGAGGGGAACGAGGAGGAAGACGGGCCGGAGACGAGTCTGGCGGCGGAAACACAGGACCGTAGACAGGGAGGTCAGGAGGCGGTGGGGGAGACACCGGCGCGCGGTCCGGGGAGGGAAGGCCGAGCAGGCGGAGAGCGGAAACCGGCGGCGACGGCTGCTGCGGCGGCGACGACGGCTGGGCCGGAACTCTCGGACCAGCAGAGGCAGAACGACCGTCGGCAGAACACTCAACAGCAGCACCCCCAGAACCAACACCCCCAGAGCGAGAACCCCCTCCAACACCAGCGGCACCCCCAGAAGCCGCAGGACGAACACCCTCCTCCACACCAGCACCCCCAGGGGCCGAGAGCAGCGGCGGCAGTGGCGGCAACGGCTGCGGCGGCGGCGACAGCGGCGACGGCTGCGGCAGCGACAGCGGCGGCGGCGGCGACGACAGCGGCGACGGCTGCGGCGGCGACGGCGACGGCGGCGGCAGCGGGGTCGGCGACTGCGACAGTGGGGGCGGAGGCACCGGGGAAGGGGGACGCGGCAAGGACGGACCGGGGGTACCACCAGAGTCAGCAGACTCCTCAACGGGGACAACCAACGGGAGGGGAGTGACGTGGGAGACACCAGACGGGGCAGGACGAGGCGGGAGAGGGGCAGGGGCTACCGGGGGAGAGGGAGCAAGGAAAAGGGGGGGGGCAACAGGGAGACCTCGGTGAGGGAAGCGGCGGTAGAAGGAGACGGACTCGTCAAAGGTGACGTCACGAGAGTGGAGGAAGCGGTGAGACGGCGGGTGGTAGAAAAGCCAGTCAGACGAGTCCAGGGGGAAACCGAGGAAGACACAGGGGACAGTGCGGGCAGTGAGCTTGTCCGTGCCAGAGGCACGAACGTGAGCAAGGCAGCCCCAGACGTGGAACGCAGACGCGTCACCGGGGGACCCGGTCCAAAGGAGGGTCGGCGAAACCTGCGGCCGCTGGGAGCGTAGAAACGAATGATTACTAGAGGTGGAAACCTAGAACAAATACTAGTTGGTTGTACTCACTAGAAGCATACCTCAGTCTAGCCTATAACTTCTACATAGATAATATGTATAAGTTGACAGCCGCAACAGCAGCAAGGTTTGCCTACTGTGCATCCACTGGGGACTTCGTCCTCTGCACCTGCAGCATCACAGTTACAAGCAGCAGCATCAGTTAAATCGGCTTTCAGTGGTATGAGCATTGATGGTTCCAGCTATGCAAGAGCTGCAGCCGCTCCAAGCTCCAGTTCTTCGTTTGCATTTACACTTGCTCAACATCAACAATTTCAATTTCTTCAACAACAGCAGCAAGCGCAATAACAATTTCAGCAACAATAGCAATATCAACAGCAACAACAGCAACCAAAACAGCAGTTTCCGCAGCAGCAGACCTCTTTCACTGGCCCTGTCTTTCAGGCACCGAACCTTTTAAGCAATATACATTTTAAGTATACATTTTAATGGCGTTGACTTCTACGCTTGGAGTTTTGAATTTGAGCTCCTCACGAAATCCGCAGGATTGTGGCCGTTCTTCAGTGGCGATTATATGTATCCTGTTACGGGA